AACAGTTGGGGAAACATCGGGTACATCATGATGCGTGGGGAAGCGTTGGGGTTGGAGATTGTTGGGGATTGAGAGTGTTTGGTTTTGGGATTTTCTTGGGAGTTTAGTGTTATGGTTCTCAGCTATGAGTTCCATTCGATTTAGGCTAAAAAAACAAAAAAGGAAAAAGAAGAGTTCAAGTACATGAAAAGAAACCCTAACAATACTGGATTCGAAGAAGAAACAAAAAGGAAGTAAGCAGACAACAAAGGAAGAGTTGCAGAAAAAGAACCTGAGAGTTGACTAAATGCTTCTTCCAAAAAGAAAGAAACTGGAAAAAACCTGAAGCCTTTAGTGTGCCGCCTCCGGCAAGTGGCAGAATGTGGGGATAGATGAGTAGCCGTGGACGGAAACAAATCTATCTTGAACATTCGACTGGTTGATCGAACAAGAAATCAAAATTAAACAGATCCATTGAAGAAGTTATGTTTAAATATAGAGAATTAGAGCGATCAAAAGAAAAATTAAGAAAATAAAACTGACCTTGACCGAATAAGAAAGTCTTGATGAACAAATGACCTTACCGAAAAACCTTGCTCATGAGGATCGACCAAGCATGACGAGGAATTGGATTAGATAAAATAGGGGTAAACTACACAAATGATCCCTCATTTATAGGACATTGTTTTTTAGTTCATTAACTATAAAAGGTTACAAAATGGTTCATTAACTATAGAGTGTTGTTTTGTTCAGTTCCCTTACTATAAAAAGTTACAAAATGGTCACATGACTATTCATATTATCAAAACTTGTCCTTTTCTGTTAAAAATCAGTGGTCGTTTGATTTGGACGTTAACATGTTAATTAAGATATGATAAAAATCTTATCCAAAATTGTTTGAGTTGTATTTTTTGGATCAACACTTCGTTTATATTATGACATTGAGCTAGTGCTTGAAATATTATATCGTCGAGCCAATGCTTGAAAGCAACAATGGTATTTGTAAACTATGTTGCATTGATACAGGTACGGGGATGGGTACGGGGACGAAAAACGATAATTTCTAAAATTATAGGGTACGGGGATGGGAATGGTACAATAAATATAAAGTAAATTTTAAAATTGTAGAAGACATAAAAAACCATAAATATTCATTAAAGTTCATAGTGACTAGAATTCTTTGATAAAAAGATGGAGATTGTAGCGGATGTAAATCAAATCTTTAACACAACTTGAATTTAACTTATTCTTAAGTGAGTGGACGAAGGAATAAATACTACAATTTCTTTCACACCAAGAGGATGAAGTAGGTTGTCCAAACACTTTGAAAGCAAAATGTTGGAGCAATAGAGTTTCGGCACCAAACTTAGTCTACTAACTTTTTGTTTCCAATTAATATCTAGTCTGCTAACTTTTCATTTCCGAATAAAATCTTAAAAATAATTGTGGGTGCATGCGTGAAGATCAAATATCCTCCTTGATACGTCCCCGAAAATCTTTTTGGCATACCCAATTAATTTCAGTCGTACCCCCTTAAACATAAAACGTCTCCATTACGTACCTACATTGTACCCGTCTTGTACCCATATCGGTGACGTATCGAGTACTTGGTACGTCACTAAGTTGTCATACTCATGCTACATAGCTAGTAAATATCATTAAAATATGATTTTATCATATCTCATTTAGCATGTTAACATCCAACTCAGACGGATGTCAATTTTTTAATGAAAAAAAGACGAGCTTGGAACATTTGAATAGTCAAGTAATCATTTTGTAACTTTTAATAGTCGGAGACTAACAAAATAGTGCCATATAATCGATGATCATTTTATAACTTTTAATAGTCGAATGACTCAACAAAACAATACCCTATAGTCGATACCATATGTGTACTTTACTAAAAACCGAAAGTTAAACTATACATGTAATCCCTTATTGTAAAATATTTTTTGTTAAGTTCTTTAATTATAAAAATTTATAGAATAATCACTTTATTTAAAATAATAATAAGTTTAATTTTTTTTTCAGGATATGACGACATCTCCTGTTAAGAACAAGTGCTTGAATGGATGAACACCTAATTCTCAAAGGATTCATCTTAGTGATCTAGACGAGGCTTTGAGTAAGTAAAGATTGGTGTGTAATCCTTTAAAAATAGTTAATCCTTGGCAACCTAAACAATGGAAAATAATACATCAACATCACTACAGCAAAAAAAGCATTTGCGGCGTTTATTTTAACTTATAGCAGCGTTTTTAAGCGCCACTAAAAACACTTGTGACGATATGAAAAATGCCACAAGAAGCATCGGGCAAACTAGCGCTGCTAAAGTTCGCGGCGTTTGATAATAAAAAACGCCGCAATAGATGAAGAGATATAGCGACGTTTACAAACGGCGCAAAAAGTCGAGATATACAATGGCGTTTTTTTGGATACAAACGTCGTAAAATGTCTATATCTATAGCGGCGTTTTTATAAACTCCGCAGAAGGTTAAGATATTTAGCTGCGTTTTTCGTATACAAACGCCGCAGAAGGTTTGGTTTATAGCGACGTTTGTTTTTCGATACAAATGCCGCATATTATCTAAACTTTATGTGACGTTTTTTTATGTAAAACGCCGATATTGTTTGTGTTAATTAGTGGCGTTTTTTTATGTAAAACGCCGATATTGTTTGTGTTAATTAGCGGCGTTTTTTATTACAAAGCCGCTAATGAACACAGAATTGACAACAATTTAATTTTTTTTCTTCGATTACCCCAAATCTTTTTTTAACCTGTTCCATTATCCAATAAACATGACATCTATAACGACAAAATCTATTTCCATAAAAACCAACATCAAATCCATTATAATAAATAAAAGTTTACATTAACGTAATAGTAATGCAGTTAATGCAGTTAAACATTGTTTAGTAACATTAACAAAACATATAACATAAATAAGACCTAGATGGTGGATTTTGAGGTTGCGCTTTTTGTATCATCTGCATCATAGCTTCTAGATGATTTTCAAATTCTTTACATTTCTGCTGATATGCTGCTTCTCTCTCTGCTTTCGCTGTTGCTCTCGCTTCATATTCGGCTTTCATGTTAGCCTTTTATTGATCCATTTCAGTCAACTTTTTGTTTTAAACGACTAACTTCTAATTGGGAAGACTGAGACTGTGATGACATGTACTGAGATTAACTGGATCCAAAATATTTAATGGGAGTAACGAATGATCTTTGACAGTGAACCCGACCATATCTTTCAGGACCCAAAACGTCATTAATAGCTTGATTTTCAATGTCATCCATATTAACAAGACCATGACTTGAAGCCGTAACTTCATACTCCGCCCTTTTCTCCCTCAATTTTTCCTAATAATAAAATAAATAAATTAATTCAAATAAAAATATCATACTACATATATAAATAAAACATGGCTTCATACTCCGCCCTTTTCTCCCTCAATTTTTCCTAATAATAAAGTAAATAATTAATTCAAATAAAAATGGCATACTACATATATAAATAAAACATAATTCAAATCCTCTCTATCCAATAAATGTACCATAATTTTTGCAACTTCAGCAGTCATAGGAGTGCTATCTTTTTTTGTATGTGTCATGTCGAAGAATTTGATTCGGCCAACTTTAGAACCAGATGTATTTTCCTACAATGTACCATAATATAATTAATTTGAGTTAGTATATACATGGAATACAAATAACTATGTGAATAATCTATAATACCTCGTCATTAGCTATACAAGCAAAGCTCTTCGATCTAGCCGTGTGAGTAAACTTTTGTTGTTGCCTACTACCAACACCAACATACTCTCGGTCCTACAATTTAAAACAACCACTTATAAAGTCAATATATTATAATTCGTTAAAATTATTTTTGAAAAATACATCATACCTGTCCTTTTTGTGAACTCCAAAATTTGACTATATCTTCCCATTGATACATGAGCATTCCAGGTGGGACAGTCTATAGCTTCTCTTCAAGGTTGAGATCATTCTTGAAGTATTTCTTTTTTAATGAGCTCTTGTGGTCTCTCCATCTCTTCCCTAACGCTTGCTTCAAATAATCATCAGAGACCTCTAAAGAAAATTTCTCCTATACAGCAAATAACTGTTCAAAGTATAAATTACTATTGAATTGTTATAGAGTATCTATTATAATGACATTATTACCTTAACAAAATCCAAAGCCTGAATTTTATTACTATTAGGCATTTCGCGCCATGACTCATAATTGATCGGTAAAAAATTAGCATTACGTCCAACTATGCCTAAGTAATCGGATAGAAGATGTGTTTCTGGGCCAATAGGTTGACCGACATCGTTTCTTAAAACGTTGACACGGTGCCCAGGAGGAAGTCGGTATAATTCTTTCAACGTTGTATGTCCTCTAGTCTTGTGTGTTCCAACATTTTCAACTATATAAGAAATTATTAAATGTAAGTTTTCAAAATGAACAAAATATTAAATAAAGTGTCGAACATTACCTTGAATTTCTACAGCTTTTTCAACAGTTATAGGAACTTCCGAAGAGTCAACAACATTTGATTCCTCGTTATTTGTTTGTTCATGCTCTTCAGAAGCTCGAACAATCCGCAAATCACTTATTTTTCTCCTCGGCATGATATATGTAATAAACAAACAACATTTTTAGTAAGAAAACAGTTTAATTAATGAATATATTAAAGGAAACATTTTAAAAGTTAAAACATTATAAATAAATAAATTAAGATATAAAATCTTACGACATTCTTATGTGATATTAGTTGTCATAAATATCTTCATCAACGTCCTCCCGAACCTATTGAAATTGTATTGCAATAGTGATAATTTCATCTAAGTTTGTGCTACTAGAGGTAAAGATTCTAATATTGTTTCAATGTCATCTCTACTTCAATCCCTAATGTCTATCAAGTCTCTAGGGGTATTACGGAGCACAACATACCAACCGTCATCCATTGGATCGTGACAGTAAAAAACTTGTTTCACTTGAGAAGAAAATGCATATGGTTCATCCATCAATCGTGATAGTAAAAAACTTGTTTCACTTGAGAAGAAAATACATATGGTTCATCCATAGTGTGAATATTAGGAACTAAGCTTAAACCATATACCTCTATTGTTGGTTTTTAGACTCGGATCTATGCTACGCTAGTCATTGTTCTTTAGTTTGATATAATTTAATCCTTCATTTATAATTAATATTATACTTCAATGCAAATCACTTTTGTTAATCGGCTAATATAGAATTCTTTTAGTAACGTTAGTAAATGGCAAAGTTATCTACATAATCATATTCCTGCACTTTGTTGTCATTGTCTCTTCATCTATCTCCATAAGTTTTTGGCATGCGAAGACCTTTTTCACTATTAATGTGGTTAACTGATAACTGTAAAAACAAGTTAAGGTATTCACATTAGATTACAAATTAATGGATAAAGGGAGGAGATGCTACAACAAACACGTGTTAATGCGTAAGAGACTAAAATTAGGGGATCAACTGCTAATAATTAGCGAACATATGATCTAACCAGAAGTTTTTTAGTACAAACCCAAGAGAATATACTAGCAAAGATAGATGGTACCCTTAGGCCACATGGTATTACCTTCACACCCAACAGATGCAGAATATGGCACACTGCTACTAATGGCGGCAAATTTCAGTTTCTCCAAACTATATAAAAAAGAAAAGAAAGAAAAAAGGATTCAAGAGAAGGGAAAACTGCAGGTCGGAGCATAAGCCCTCAAAAGCTAGAAGCAAAGTACAGAATCTACTACCCATAATTAAAATGCCAAATCATAGTTTTTTGCTTATTAATGTTGTTTAATTTGAAAAAAAAACAAATCTTATTTCCTGCCTATTGAGAAAAAAGCTTTTGCCCCAAACCAATATATTTAATTCTTGCTTAGATTTTTTTTAGGCGTTAATAGTTATCAAAGATAAAAAAGAGCCAGTGATTCATTTGAAATAAAAGTGTAATAAGAACAAATATGAAAGACTCTTCATGGACTTTTTGGCATGTGAAATTTCTTTTCAAGTGAGACTTTGAAAGAACTTGGGTGAAGGACAATGATAAGTAATGAAGTGACAGCACCATAATAGGAGACATAAGCTCTTGCAAAAATTAGAAAGTACTTTCCCTGCACAATTCAATGACATCATATTGTCTTTCACCTTTATTTAACTCCCTGTCATTCTTATTTTGTTTTCAAATAGAGAACCAAACATAAATCTATTCTATTTGAAATATGACTGAACTATTGATGTTCTTGATCATACAGTTAAAAAGTTTGTTCATTTCATTTTTTTGATACACAATAAAGCCACCAATCAAGAGGTGAAAAAAGGTTATATTCTAGCTTGTCTTATCTGTCTCAAATTAACCAAGCAAGGATTTAACTTCATTTTCCATTCTCACTTCTCTTAGTATCGTTCATGGATTACAGAACACAATATAAAAATATTAGTGCTATGTGAATTCCTTGACCATAGCATCTATAGTCTTGATGAAAAAGGAAATTGTGCGGGGACTGGTATAGGTAAATTTTGAAACTTGAAGTTTAGATTCCTGCATATATTTTTTGTCTCGAGTCTCAGCAATTGGTAAGATTTAAGAGACTAATTTTCAGTACTTAAGCCAAAAGAAAACATGTCCAGATTTCTGCAAATCGATCTACAATGAACCCAATGTACATCCCCAAACAATCTACAGCTAACACAAGAATATAGCAACTTAATCATCATCGAATAATTTCATTGCAAAAAGAAACTCAAGCCTCATCAACACCAATCACATATGATAAAAATTCAAAGCATCATATTTCAGAAACAATACAGAAATAAAGGAGCATAATGAAAAACCAACCTTTGGTAGAGTAGGTCCTAATTTTCTCACAAGGTTATCTACATGTCTTGTCCGAACCCCATATAAGAAAATTCAAAGCACTAATTATTACGACTAAACAAATTCCTTGGAGATAAAAATTGATTAGCGCATTTACTACTTTAACTTGATAAAATAATACATTAGCATTAGAATCAGGAAAAATAACAAACTTACAGAAGGCGAATTGCGTGGAAGAGGCACAAATCCTGCAGGCATAGGTAAAGCGCAAATGAAAAGGAGTAAAGCATAGATGAGTTGGTAAAATTAGAGAAATGGTTCAAATTGCTAAAGAAAAAGACCGAGTGAAATCTAGATCTACGAATCCGACTCACGATTCCATACAATGACCTAATCGGAAACAGATCTAAAAGGATAATAGATTTGATAAAAAGGAACCTGGAGAATTTACCGTAAGTAAGAGCACTAACGATGGCAGAGAGTTGAGCGTTGATGGCGTGATGTTGGAGGCCTTGACGGCTTCGAGTGGCGATGAGCAACAGCAGCTTCTTGGGTATTTGGGTATATCTGGCGGAGATGGGTAATAAGAAAAGGGGACCGTGAGAACAGATGGAAAGGGGAAAGGGTTTCGTTCGATATTGATTTTATTAAACATTGCGGCGTTTGTAGACATAAACGCCATCATTTATCATTTTATAGCGGTGTTTCTTAAAAAATGCAAGTAAAGTATATGTATATCACGGCGTTTGTCTAAAAATATCACTATATATAAAAACTTATTGCGGCGGTTTCTTAAAAACACCACTAAATTACAATTGTGTAGCGGCGTTTGTGTAAAAAAGCCACTAAAGTACCAATTTGTTGCGGTGATAGTCTAAAAACGCCGTGATATATATACCCTATTGTGGAGTTTTTCTAACAACGCCACGATATATGTGCCCAATTGTTGTGTTTGTTTAAAAATGCCACTAAAAAATTATTTTGTGGTAGCGTTTTTAAACAAACGCCACTAAAGTACTTATTTGTAACGATGTTTGTCAAATAAACGCCACTAAAGTATGAGTTTTAGCGTCGTTATTGAAAAATGTCGTTATTGTTACCATTTAGTGGCGTTTTGGATATAAACGTCGCGATATGTATAAATTTATTGGCATTTTATTTGAAAACGCCACTATATACGTGAAAATAGTTTCTAAAGGTTCATATCCTGATTTTTAATGGAGCATAAAGAATCCTGAGACAGTTGCCAACAATTTAGAACAATATGAAGAAAGTTATATACATGAGATTTGCTCAATCTAAAAAAAACTCATATGATTGAAAATTAATAATAAAATAAAATCACACAAAACTCAGAATAAGTAGGGTAATACAAACCCTAGAACCCAGAATTAAGGAAAACAAAGCAAGTTTGAAGCTTTTGAAAGCGTAATATTAAGAAGAATGAACAGTCGACCAAGCTTTGATTCTCTCTATGTTTGAGTCAGCGCGAAAGGAAAAAATTGATTGCTTATAAAATTCAGCACCAAACTTCACATGAATTGGATCAAAAGAACTTAGAAATGCAAAATCTAGGTTATAAAAAAATAACAGAATACCATAATCACATCAGAACAACAAAAGGGGGAAATTACACTTCGATGTCGGAGAAGAAAGGGAAAGCTTGTCGCCGGATACTAACAATTTCGCTACGAAGTTGGAGGGAATAAAAAGAAGAAGATATAAACGGTGAGAATGGAAAAATAGGTGAAGGGGAAAAATGAAAAAGGGTTAAAGGGGCACGGGAAATAGAAATTGTAAACTTACAACGTTTGTAAATACAAACTCCACTAAAGTATTGATAAATTGCGGTGTTTGTATAAAAATGCCACTAAAGTATGAGTTTTTAGCGGTGTTTGTATAGAAGCGCTGCTAAAGTACTAATATGTTACGGCATTTATTGAAAAACGCCACTATAGGTGAATGCTATTACGTCGTTTGTATAAAAATGCCGCTAAAGTGCTAATCTGTTGAGGCATTTATTGAAAAAACACCACTATAGGTGAACGCTATTGCAGCATTTGAAAAGAAACGCCGCTAAAGTTACCATTTTGTGGCGTTTGAAATGTAAATGCCACTATATGTTTAAAGTAAGTGGCGTTTACAACACAATTTAAATACTCGTACTTTGAATCAATAATAAGATCAATATCTTAAACAAAGAAAAAAAAACCTCTTACATATAACTTTAAATAAGAATATTTTATTATTTTGAATGGTTGCAAATAATACATATGTAAGGTGCCTATTTATAGGCTCGTAAAAATCCTAAAATCATGGTTTTGAGTTGTTCTCGGTTCAATTGGACAACATCGATGTTGTGAGGCTTATTACTGGTTCTAATTGCTCGACGAGTACCCATGCGATGATGCATTCCATTCATAATTTACGCCAACGATGTTGGGTGACGGAGGTCACTTGGGTTCCTATAGAAACTAATAAGCTTGCTGACGAAATTACTAAGTTGAGCTCCCCTTCACTGTAAGAGATTGTGCTCCATTCTTCACCACCGTCGTCCCTTCAGGATACTTTCAACTGTTATGTGATGGGATTGGATCACAATCAATGTGTCATGTTTTGGCTATTCAATTGAATATCTTCTTCATATTATCTGAGATTTGTTAAAGAATGATTCAAAGTCATCCTATTTTTAGTATTGACTGTTGCGGTTCCTTATTTGTCTGATTTTATTGTTATTTACGTGCAGTAGTGGTTCCTTTTTTCTGTTAGTTTGTTGTGTTGTCAAGCCTATATAAGGCCTATGTTTTTTCCATTCTAAGCATTGAATAAAAGCATAAAGTTTTGTCATCTAAAGTCCATTGTTTCTTCTTTATTTTTTCTACATTTTTGGTATCGAGAGCCAGGTTTGTTTGTAGTTGGGATTTGTAACAAATGGCGACTAACTGCAATGTCGTGAATGTATCTCAACTATCGATTCTAGTCTTCAACAGAGAAAGCTATGAGTTTTGGAGCATTAAGATTAAGACCTTGTTCAAGTCTCAAGATCTTTGGGACTTAGTTGAAAATGGCTATACCGAACCATATGAAGAGGCGAGATTGAGAGAAAATAAGAAAAATGACTCAAAGGCATTATTTTTTATCTAGCAAGCCATTCATGAGACTGTTTTTTTTAAATTGCTGCAGCAAATATAGCGAAAGAAACTTGGGGAATTTTGCAAACAACATTTCAAGGCTCCTCTAAGGTAATGAAGATAAAACTTCAATCACTTCGTAGGGATTTTGAAACCTTGCAGATGAAAGGTGGAGAGTTGGTGCAGTATTTTTTTATCCAGAGTTGTTGAAATTGTCAACAAAATGTGGTCTTATGGGGAGAATATTAATGATCAAATAATTGTTGCAAAAATTTTAAGGAGTCTCACTCCTAAGTTTGATGATGTAGTGGCTGTCATAGAAAAATCCAAAGACTTGGAAACATTCATATTTGATGAGTTGATGGGATCATTGCAGTCCCATGAGGCGAGGCTGAACAGAACGGAAGAGAAGACCGAGGACAAGGCTTTTCATGTGAAAGGGAGGCATTTCCCCCAGAAAATGAACAAAAATGGCGAGGTCATATTGGATCTCGTGGAAGAGGAGGTCGTGGCAGAGGACGAGGCCGAAGCGATGGATACCAAAATCAAACACAACAACGAGATAACAAAAGGTTTATCCAATGCTTTTACTGTAAAAAATTTAGGCATGTGAAGGCAGATTGATGGAGAAGATCAAAGCAAGAACAAGCAAGTTATGCTGAGCAAGAAGATGATGAGATCAAATTTTTCATGGCGTATCAAGAAAATGTAGCAAGCCATAGCAACATTTGGTTTCTAGAGAGTGGGTGCTCGAATCATATGACTGGTGTGAAGTCATTGTTCAACGAGATTGATGAAACCCTCAAATAAAAAGTAACACTTGGAGACAACAAGCAAATTCAAGTAAAAGTGAAGGGAATTGTGGCAATCAAAAGTAGTTCTGGTAATGTGAAACTTCTGTATGATGTTTATTACATTCCAAGTATGTCACAAAAGTAGTTCCTCATGTGTGATCAAAGATAAAAAATCAGATCAAACTATAGTTGACGTTCGCATGACACCAAACAAGTTATTCCTACTTGTTATTTCTGATGTTCAAAACCATGCACTTGATGTCAAAGAAACCAGTGAGTCGAGATTATGGCATTTGAGGTATGGGCATTTAAATGTCAAATGTTTGAAATTATTGTGTCAAAAGAAAATGGTTGATGGATTGCCTAAAATTGAGTCTTAGATACGTGTGAAGGCTTTATATATGGAAAACAATGTTGTCGTAACCGGTTTTTGCCCGGGCACAAATTGCGGGAAAAATAATGTGGATAAATGGTTTTTATTGAAATGTTTTGGGGAGCCGCCATCGGCCTTTTGGGTCAAGTAGGTCGAATACCTAAAAATCATCTTTTAAAAGATTTTTTAAGAAAACATCAATTAAAAGATAAACCGGTCTGCGTTTAACCAAAAAATTGTTTTTTTAATAATAAAAAGGGATTCGTGGTCGATTACGTTTGGGGAAGAATTAGCACCCCCACAACGCCCAAATTTGGTCTATGTCGAGTATATATTGTCTCTAATAATAGAAATTAAGAATTCAAATATAAATTTAATTTATGATCTTTTCATATTCAATTGGATAATAAGGAAGAAAAATATTAAAATATTTTTTATAAATTATAAATAAAGTATTTATTTATTTAAAAATATTAGAAAAAGACTTCTAGTTGCTTTAAGACAACTCATTTCTTTAATATTAATAAATAAATAAATATTAATAAGAATATAATAATTTTCATAAAAATAATGAAGTAAATATATATTTTTATAAGCAAGATATTTATTTATTTTTAAAATACCAGGACATCTAGTTATTTTAAGATTGTCCTTCTGATTATTTAAGAATAAATAAATATTATTATTTAATTAAGTGATAAAATTAATTAAATAATACTTATTAATATACATATATTAATATGATTAAAATTAAATAATAAAAAAAATATAATAATTTGAATTGAACTAAAATAATTATATATGTATACTAAGATATTTATTTATTTAAAAATATTGAAATAGAACTTCTAGTTACGTTAAGACAACCCTTTTCATAATATTTTAAAATAAATAAACATTTTTATTTAATCAAATATATATATATATATATATATTTAAAATATTAAATTAAACATATTGAAATAATAATAATAATAATAAATTGCATTTAAATAGTGACTAAAATAAATAAAATTAAAACTATAAGATTAAATTACAAAATATAAAAATTAATAGTAAAAAATAAAAATAATTAAAATATCAGTGATTAAAATATAACATATTAAAATTAAAAGCTCTAATTCAAAATATTATGAAATATAATAATTAACAATGTAATTTAACCATAATAATTAACACGAGATTAAAATAAATTTAATAAAATTATAAGGGACTAATCATAATATTTACCCTAAATATATAAACATATACTGGAAAGGACTAAAATAAACTAAAATTCGGAGACCAACTTAAAGGTTCAGAAGTTAGTTTTAAGTGACTAAAATATAAATAAGTAAAATTAGAACATA